CTTTCCCTGCTCCAGTGTAGGGTCCCTTCGTGCAGGAGAGTCCTTCACAAACTGCTCCAACGTGAGTCCTTCCCGCATGGGGTCACAGTCCTCTGATAACTGCTTGGCTCCGGCATGGGTTTCTTCAAAATTCTCAACCCTTTTCGGGCACAGCTGCTTTTTCCAGCGTGGAGTCCTCCACGACTACATCTCCTGGACTGCACGAAGAGACAAACATGCATCACCATGAGTCTTCTCCACGCTGCAGGGGAGTCTCTGTTCCGGTGCACCTCCTTCCTCTCCTTTCTCTTCTCTGACTGCTGTGTCTGTGTAGTTGTCTCTCTCAGATCCCGCTTCTCTCTCCGCCGCAGATTCTTATCACCGGCTCCTGAGAAAACTGACCCCATGTTCTGTGCCCCCTCTTTATGTCATTCACAGAGGTGCTGATGGCTCAGCCCTGGCCAGGGGTGGGTCCAGCCTGGAGCTCGGGAAACTTCCAGCAGCTTCTCCCAGGGGCCAGCTCGCAGTACTTCTTCCCCCACACCCTGGCTACTAAAACCTTGGAGCTGGAGGTGGGGGTGAACTCTTAGTAGTTACTTACAGGAACCCCCACTGCAGCCCCTCCCTTACTACAGGAGCAGACTTGGGAGTCAGGGGAAACCTTTAGCAGTTACTTACAGGAGCCATTCCTGTGGCCCCTCCCCTGCTACCAAATAAACCCACCACACAAAACCCCAACACAGGGAAAATAAACCATGAGTATTTATGGCCAGTGTCAGTTGCAGGTGGCAAGGTTGCTGGCCTGTATAGATGCCATTATTCTTAGTAGAGAATGCAAGGCAGAAAAATGAATGTTTTAACTTTCCTGCAACACTCGGTTATTTTAATATTTTAAATGAGTCAATTCATAATTTTTAGAATGGTTAATTATAAGTCTAGTTCAAATACAAAAGGTGCATTCTCTTTCCTTGCTTACGGAATTGGCATGACACATATTTCATACTCACTCTTTTTTCCAAGTTCTGTATGTTGCGGAGTCTTAAATGTATTTCAGTATTTACCAGCTTTATGTTACATTATTCTGTGCACACCAATACTTCCCAAAAGTTTTTACTGAATTCCACGGTTCAATAATGGTAGGCAATTTTTAAGGTTTCCTTTAAACTGTAATTTATATAAAGTAGCGTAGGTTTGTATTTGGGAGTGACAGCAAGCAGTTTTGCATTTGTTGTGCAACTACTTCTAACAAAGGAGCCCTCGTTTTGTTTCCTTTTTGAGGTGATGCGGATTCAAATTCAACAGACTTTCTCCCAGGCATGTAGATAATCAGGAAGTCTGCTAATTGAGGCAAAATAATACTGAGGGTGTCAAGCCTTTACAAAAGGTTTCAGGGTATTTCTGAACCTGAAGTCCCAACAGTGGGATTTGAACACTTGTGGTTTGAGTTCTCTATTCGGAAGATGTTGAGTAGAGGATTTCTGCCAGAGTCCTTAAGAAGGAGCAAGCAATGCTTCATTTTTGGGTGTTGGTTTTTTTTTTTTAAACTGTTTTCTTAAGTTTTGACTCTATCCAGGTTTTTTCTTCATATGTGTTCTCTGTGTTACTTTAAAGCACCAAAAACTGTGTAAACTAGTTAGAGCTCCACAAAAGTGCACATTTTTTTTATATAAGACTTTCTAATCAAGTTTCACTACTGCATCTCTTTAGCTTGCTGTTTACTCCCTTTTGTAGTTTTACCTACAAGATTTTAAGATAAATCAGCTAAGTCTGAGTAAAATATTAATCACAGTTATAGCTTTACCTTTGTGTGCAATTTAAATATGTTTGAAACCACAATTGGCATAGTTTTGCCTTAGCTAACATTCAGGGCTTTAGAAGTAATTTTTTGCTACTCCACCTTTAGCGAATTTATGAAATCTATTGCCCTAGAAAGCTATAGTCAACCAGAGGACCATTTTTGTATTGTTACCTGACTATATAAGTCTGATTTACTGTATGTGCTAATATATTATATTCCTTTTGTTATAGATTGTCCTAATGGCAGGTAAAGCAATAAAATGATTTAAATTCTTAAATGCAATCAGTCTCTCTTTTTTTTCTTTCCCATCCCTATATTGTGTTTTCCTTTGGCCTTAGAGGATACATGATGAATGAGGTGCTAGAAACTAAGCAGCTTAGTGGATTAGCTTTGTGTTAACTCTGGAGGCTGGAGTTCACGTCCTGGCTTACGGCACAACCGAACCTTCCCCTCCGGAGCCTGCGGCAGAGCTTGGTCTCCACAAGCCAACCTGTACCTATGACCTGAGAACTCCTCAGGAGTTGTGGTGTTGGGTGCACGTGGCTGTGTTTGAAGTCAGAAGGTACCTGTGTCTTGCTTGAGTGCCTCTTAGCAACTCGTGCTGCTTTGAGCTCTCGTTAATGTGGTTAATTCCCTGCCCAGCCACTATTACTGGAGCTTATCAGCTTCTGTAAGTTGTCTGCTCCCATCTGTCCATCCCATTAATGAAAGTTTTGAACATCTGGTATTTAATCATGAATGAGTTCTGGTGGACTGAGAGTGAGAAATAGAAGGGGGATTTTCACACTATGATGATGTAGGAAAAAAATTGACGAGCAATGACTTGAAGCAGCTCGGACTGGCCATGTTTTACATCCAGTGCTAAGAAAGCTATCACCCAACTTTGAAGATACATTAAAAAGCTAGCGTGTAAAGGAGAATAAAAATAATAAGAAGGCAACTTTGCAGCCCCTGTTAGTGTACCAGCCATTTAAATATCTGTGAGTTTGTTTCCTTCATCCTGCCCTCTGTTTCCCCCATCCCTTTGGCAAAGAAAAAAAAAGTCTGAAAACAGAACTCTTATTACCTAAAGTGAAACTCTAGAACTTCCGCTTCCAACCTTACAGCTTTAAACTTATCTTCTGTTGCCATGTTCTTCCTGTTCAAGCAGCCCACAGTAACCACTCCATCTCACTGACCAATTTAATTTTGGGCTTGTCACGTGTGATGAGCGTGCAAAAAGTCACCGGTAGAGGGAGATGCAACTTCGGGAATCCACCATCCTGCATGAAACAACCTTCCTGCCCTGCATGCCAAGAGTGAGTTACATCCTTTTATTTTCATCTATTCTCTGTCCACAAGAGTAAGAAGGTAAGCCCACCAACGTCAAGAATTCTGTTCAATTGAGACTGTCTAAAACATTGCTTTTGTGAAAGCTGGAAATGGAAGGAGGTGGCTGAAGCACAAGTCAGGAGAGACTAGAGTAGCATGGTGTGGGGTTTTATGTTTTTGGTTGGATGGGTTTGTGTGGGGTTTTTTGATAATCTTTGTGGCTTCAGGATATTGGAGGAAACTTTTTGCTAAGTAGAAAGGCTACAAACTTTCTCATACGAATGAATAGAACAAGTACCTGTAGGGACATACTCAGATGACAACTGCAGTCTCTCCTCAAGTTTTCTTTCTTTCTATTTTTTCTGTAGTGGAGGCAGGTGTATTGTAGAATTATTGAGGAGTTGAATTAGATGTCAGCACAGTCCCCTGGGCCAAACAAGCTTTGTTCCTTCCTTGCATGATCCAGGCACTTACTGCCAACGTCACCGAGTTCCCTTTGGGTTGGGCAAAATGCCAGCCCCCAAGAAAATGAGCTGGTGGTAGACACAGCAGCTTGCTGAGAACCTATTAACAACGGCTGCCTGACAACATTTGTGCTTTTGCGTTAGGATTCTCCTCTGAAAGGTCTGCAGTGCTGTAAATGGTTTTTGTCTAACTTAAACGTTAGTTTAGAATGAGCGTCTGAAAGATTGGTTGTGGTGGGTAGTTTTTTTTTTTTTCTTTTTCCTTAAGGATGATAAATTATCAACAAAGTTCTCAACAGCTTTTTCTAGGCTGCCAAAAAGCTCAGTGTACTTGTTCTTGAACAGTTAAAGGAAAAAGCTATTAAAGAGAGCTTCAGTAGTCACATTGTTCTTAAGCCTTGTTGTTGGGAGGCAAGGGGAAAACTACTGAAATATCTATGCTGACTCCCTCCCCACGCTTTTTTGTCTCTGGTTCCTATTGCGCCTCCCCAAAATGCACAGAGATGAGGGGGCAGAGTGTGACAACATTTCTGTTTTCTAGGGAATTCTGACAACTTCAGTGATTTTAAAGCAATGAGAAGATGACCTGAGATAGATCCTTCCCACTTTGGCAAAATGTTTTCGCCAGAAGTGTGGATGGCTTCTTGAATTGCAAATACAGGTCTGTGCCTCTGAGCGCTTTGTTTTGGTCTGTTTTCCCTTGGGCTCAAAGGCAATACCCTTCTGCCTGTCTCTTAGAACCCAAACTGGCTCTTCCACCCAAGAGGGAGGTAAAAGTAGAAGTGGTTTTACTGCCCTGTGGGGCACTGGGCTTTTCAGGGACATGCACAGATGGAAGTGGAGTGGGTTGGTCACTGCTGAAGAGACCAAGAGGCAACAGCCAGGTCTGCTGGTGGATACTGTGCCGATGCTCTTCGCTCTGGCCGTGCTGAACCCACACGCTGTCTTGTCCCAGGGGCAGGCACTGCCCTTGTGAAATGAGATCGCTCTTATCTCCAATACACAGTCTTGATTACAGAACAGAGACTTCATAAGAGGAAGAGGGTCTTGGCATCTCTTTATTCAAGCCTCATCCTCAGATCTAGTTTGTGTCCTTGACTAGCAAGACCCAGCTCCCGTGCAGGTGGAGCAAACCAACGGCCACGTGTTCCCCTGCCCTCCCAGGGGTGTGACCGACTGCAGCCCGGGAGATCACTGCTTTTCCACCACAGAGCCGGTGTTGGGGTGTAAAGGTCTGCTGCAGGCAGACCACAGCTCACCAGCACACTGGCCAAGCACAGAAGCTTTGGTAGAGCACCAGCATAGAAACCCAGTGTGGTGCTTAAAGATCATCTGCAGAGCTTCCCCCTCAGTCTCGCAAGCGTTTGTAGGTGGAAATTACCAGCTGAGAGAACCTGCCGCTTGCCTTGCAGGGGTTTCCCCACCTCTGCACCTGAGTTCAGGACCGGTTAAGTGCTCAGCTTCACTCTGGCGGACGCAGGAGCCTGGGGCTGCGTGGTGTCGTTGGCCACCACCTTGGCTTCTCCGTAGGTCTCTATACATTTCCTCACAGCTCGCAGGATGAGCTGTAACCGTCTGTCCAAAGCCAAGAGATGGGGCTCGGTGAGGATGGGCGCCAGGCGGTCCTGCAGCAGCGATTCCCTCATCACATCGCTGAGCCGATATTCGGGCTCAGCCAAGAGCTGGAGTCGTAATAACGTCGTTCTCTTTATTCTGGAAAAAAAAATAAACATCTTAATGCAAACTTCTTGTGGCATCCCAGCAAGAACCAGCTGTCTGAGCCCCTTGGTACTGGGGGAAGGAGGGAGAGCAGAGGTGGCTGAAGATATGTGACAAAGAACTCTGGAATAAAAGCTTTCCCTTTCTGAAGGAAATGAAATTTTTTTGCAGAAACCTCTGCTTCTTCCTTTGTTTTTGCAGACTGCTGGGTATTTGTACTGCATATTTCTGTCAGCAGAGAGAAAAACATGAGAGAAGTTCTCAGGAATGAGTGTTTTTCCGCTGCGTCAGAGATGACCCGGTTCCCCAGATTCCTGCAGGGTGGTGCCGTGCTCCCAACCGTGGCATTTATGGGCTGGGGGCAGAGGAGGAGGTATAATGAAGAGGCATGAATGAGGAAAAAAGTATTCTGTCAAAACTCTGAGCAAAAAGAAAGAATACTTCCTGGAACTGATTTAACTGTGACTTTTCACCTTAAGAGGTTCTGAGATTTAAATATTTCCCTTTGACAGAAAGTGGGATGAAAAGCTATAATCTTGGAACACTTCTGGGAACAAAACTCAGTATTCTGAAATCAGTTGTTTAATCCTCAGCGAAAGTGATTTGACTCCAGCATTTCTAATACAAAAATCAATCAGTGGTTTTAATCATTACCCTTTAAATTTTGGAAATGGTTTGTGTTTGTGAAGCCATTCCTATTTAGCCAAGCCAGAATTTTCAGATGGGAAAAAGGTGTAGTCAGTAACATTTTAACCAGCTCCAGAATTTGCCTTTGGCTGCCTGTTATTTACCCAGGGCATTGATTAGGAGCAGCGATCTCTCTCTGCAGCTCTGCTGGGACCCATGCTGTTCAGATACCAGGCTGTGGCTGCTGCTGTGCCAGAGCAGTCGCTGAATTGCACCAGGACTGGTCGTGTCCTGGAGCAGCCAAGCGAGGTGCGTGGCTGGGGTCAGCGATGCCTGTTGCATTGCACAAGGCTTGTATTAATATTCCTACCAAAAAAAAAAATAATCAATTGATCAAGTGCTAAGCCTGGCAACGAGGCTTTAAATCTCTGCTGGAGCACGGCAGCGAGGTGCTGCTGCTGGAGAAAGCTGTGCTGAGAGCAGATGTGAACCGCAGCAAAGGCGCGTGCGTGCGTGCTCCTTCCAGCGCAGGGTGACGGAGGAGCTGCTGCGGGTAAACACCAGCTGTGTTTGCTCTGGTCGGAACAGCACCGGGGCTTGGAGGTGGAGGACGGGCTGGTCTGACCCCATGGGGAATGGCCTCGTGCTGGAACAGTTACATAAGAAACCGGCGGAACACGGAGAGGAGTGTGCGATGGAGATCCTGCTGCTGGCCCTGCGCCGCTCCCACGGGGCAGCTGTCACCCCGCTGGGGTACGGAATTGTTGAAGATTTCACCCAGAGCCTTCTGGGGACTCCATCAGCTGAGCAGATCAATGTGCCAGGTCAACCCGGGCTGTTCTCGGGCTGCTCTGTGCCTTGTTGGGGGTTTTGACCCTTTCAGGAACGGGACCCTGGCTGTTTTTGTGCCGTTTACTTGGAGCGATGCTGGGAGAGGAGAGCAGCAGGCATCAACGTGTGGGACAAGGACTGGGGTGGGAGCTGTGGAAGGTGCCTACAAATACAGACTTAAACCTGCTGGAAGCCAAACTTAGAGAAGAAATAATCTGGGACCAAGATGAAGGTGTTCACCAGGGAAGCGAGCAGCCTGCTGTTCAGCATCCCCGGGGTCCCACTGGTCCGGAGGGGCTGGAGGACTTTGCTCCTGCTCAGGTGGATGTGGGTGAACTTCCTGTAGGAACACCGAGGGGACTTGGGTGGAGTCCAGCTGGTTGGTCAGGGCAGGCTGGGATCTTTGAACCCTGTGCTCTACTCAAATAAAACTTTTTATTTCCTTCCCAAGCGCTTTTGGATGATCCCGCGCTCCGAAGGGACTGGCTGTTGTGGGAAATGAGGTTTTGTGTGTCCCCCTTGGGCACCGTGAGTTGCTTTTACACCGTTCTTGGCCGTAGTTGGCTCATGACAAGGTGCGACCTGCAAGAGCTCACTGGGTGCAAAGAGCAGTTTTTAAAATTAGATCCAGGAACACAAGAGTGGGAGGAGAGGGCAGGTACCACCCCGAGGCTGGGAGGGAGCAGGGAAGAGATGGGTTAGGCATCTACTGTGAAACCACAGGGAAGAGCAGCTTTTTCTGCCTCTTAAATTTAACTTTCAGCTGGTGAATTATGGAAATTAATAAAGAGGGAAGAGAGGATAGGGATAGGGGAAGCCCACCTGGGGATTTAGAGATATGTAGGGTGTTCTGATGGAAAGGGACCATCCAAATGGAAAGTATCCAGGAAGGACAGTTGTATGACACCATAGCAGGCTGCAGCACAACAGGGCTTAATACTCCGATATCAAAGCTTAACCCCTGCTTCAGTGATTCCTGTGCTCCGGTGGCTGCCCTGCCCCGTGGCTGGGATTAGCCGGGGTCTTCCCTGTGCTGCCGGATGGAGCCGTGCTCCGGTGGTTGCCCTGCCCCGTGGCTGGGATTAGCTGGGGTCTTTCCTGTGCTGCCGAATGGAGCCAGGCCTGGGGGATTTGGGGGAGTCCCCCACCAAGCGCTGCCAGCCCGTTATGGTGGAACACTAGCGTGGCTGGGAAAGAAGATGAGGACTTACATGCAGCACTGGGAGAGTGGGGCCAGGATGGAAGTTTCATCATGGGAATGCCGCCCGAACCTGGGGGGATAAGGAGAGAGCACAGAACTTTAGTACCAGCCTGTCACCTTCCCCACCTCCCAACGTCCTCCCCCAGCCTCACCCTCTGGCGTTGTCCAGGTGGAGGAGGAAGCCGTCGTCCCCAAACTTGGTGAACATCTCGTAGTGGTGACGGTCCATGTTCCCTGGTAAAGGGCAGACAGAGGAACTGAGTTTCCCATGACTGAGTAATTTTCTGAACTATTCTACATTTTCTTTCAGATCTGCAGGAAATAGTTGTTGCCATGCTGGAAGTGTCTGAGATGCTCAGAGCTGCTGCTTTTGTCTTGCTGGACCCCCGAGGAGTGGGCTGGTGGGGGGGGGGCCTGGGGGCTCCCCCTTGCCTGCACATCAGGAGGGGTGTGCTGCCTGGCTGGGGGCAGACAGCAGTCTCCCAAAACTGGCTCTGGAGCAGAAGGAATGGCTTTGAGAAACGCCGTGGTGTGGGGGACAGACAGGCTGATGCTGCTTCAGCATCACATGGAAAGAAGGAAGGTTGTTTCCCCCTTCACCATACCTATTAGGAAGTCAAATATGGCCATGTCAACGATGTTAAGCAGCCGGTTGCCGTTGCTGTAGGGGTAGATCTCCCTCACCGTGTTGCAGTAGAGCGGGTTCACTTCCCACCTGCAGGAGACAGAGGAGAATGGGGAGATGCTCTCAGTGGTTGCTGAGACAGAGAGGAGGAGGACCTAAATCTCCCTCCTTGTGCACGCAGGAGACTGGCAGTCAAACCCAGTCAACACCCAGGCCTTAAGAGTTATTAGACCAATGATGGGTAATCTCTGAACCTTGGCCTTCCTCTGCCTGGATGTACAATTGTCTGTGTGTCTGTACCCTGCTCATTCTCCTCCCTGCCTGCTCCCCGCAATGCAGATATTGGAAGCAGCATCATTTACCCACTTACTCCTCTTTTCCATCAAACGAGTAGGATCGGATCCAGGGGTTTGGGATGGAAAGTCGTGGCGCCAGGTTGAGGGATGGCAGGAAGGCGGAGAGGGACCCTTCCAGGAGGTGAGGGTTCCCGCACACTGCGTACTCCGTCTTGCACATGTACGGGCACTTGGCGAAGAAGCAGACGTTGCTGGCTGGGAGGAGAAGAGAGAAGAATGGAGAAGGAGCTGCAATCTGCAGGAGACTGCAAGGTAGCCTGGACTGAGCTCTTCCCCATCCATAGACCTTCCCCATACCACAGACCTGGTCCCATGGTAGGAGAAAGGTTGGGAAAAATTAGGCAGGTGAGTAGATCTGGCAGATGAGTCCAGCTGGAAGCTGTGAGAGGGACAACTCTGCTGTAACCTTGTCTTTGTGCATGTTTCACCCAAGAATTTAAGTTCTGCTCAACAGCACAAGTCCTGCCAGTCACTCTTGCCCGCAGACCCTGCCCTTCCGCCCACCACGGACCAACGTGCCCCATCCCGGCTCGCGGCAGCCAACCAGTTGCCCACCTGGTGCGATGAAGAAGACACTCTGCAGAATCTCGTTCTTGGTGACCTCCAGGATCTCCTTAGTGACATTGATCAACCTCCCAACCGTGGGTGGGACCCTCCGGAAATCCAGGATCCTGCACAAAAGGGACAGTGGCTCAGAGCCTGCCATGCAAGGAGACGTTACCGCCCAGGACGGCAACACGGGATGGCAGACACTGCCCTTATCCCTTCGGATGGTAAACTAGGGGCTTTTTGATGACTGCACCCATATAGATTTATTTATTTTTCCCCCCAGCTTCTTTCTAGTGAATGACCAGGATCAGTTAACCCTCTGGACCAAAACGCGGCTGAGTTTGGATTTTGGTATTTTAATAGCTGCCACCTGGAACAATCTGGGTGTTCTCCAGGATTCATGTCTCTCCCCTGACTGGTTTCTCCCATCCCCTCGCCCCCAAGCGGGGTCCTTCGGGAGCCAGAACATCCCTTCGGGCCCTTCTGCAGTGCTGGGGTTGGCACCAAGTGGGGATGTGCTGAACCTGGTACAACGTGGCTGAGGCAGCGGGACGCGAGGAGGCAGCACCCCACTCACAGGCACTCAGCCCAGCTGATTAATCTCAAATATTCTTCAAAAAATCCGCGCCGGGGCAGACAGGCACTGATGTCAGGGAGGGGAAAGCTGCTGCTGGTTGCTGAGTCAGCAATATGGGGTGAACGGCTGCTGCTGTGCTTTGGTCCTGGGTAATGCCCTCTGCTTTGGAGAACTGGGCACAAAACAGGACTTAGCCTGTTACTTATTGAGCAATATTTAAAGAAAAAATAAATTTGCTTTCATCTAGCATTGTTCAGCTCAAAAAAACCCACCAAGCACTTCAGAAAAGCAGTCCGGCCTCGTTTTTCCTGGTGGTGGAGCTGGGCTGCAGAGAGGCAAGCTGATGGCAGCTCGACACAGGGTCACTGCGGGGATGTAGGGCAGAGCTGGAATGGGAATTGGGCTCTCTCCGTTCCCTCGCTCAGAGTTTGAGCGACAGGACGTACAGCCCAGTCCTGCTTCTCATATAAATTGGGCGTGGGAACTGGAGACCCCCATCCACCATCGTCACCATCAGGGATCACTGTCCCTTGATGTTCAATACTCAGCCCAGGGAGGGGAGGAAGGTGCTGCCCTCCTCTCTGATAAGGGCATTTCTGACTTTATTAAATACAAAGCCTGCTGGGAAGAGGTGCAAGGTTAATTGCTCATTAGCTCACAGCTTGACACTGCATTGCTGCAGTTTATCTCAGCCCAAAGCACGCCGTGATTGCTGATGGAGTGTGTGAGTCCCTCACTGGGATGGGATCCAGGCTGCACCCAGAGCTCGTCTTTGCACTTTGACGCAGGGGAAGGACCACGTGCATATGGCCGTGTGACAAATACTCGACCCCTTTGCAACTGGGACTTCATCTGCCAGCCTGTTCTTGTGCAGAGGCTAAGGCACAGCTGACTGCTGGGCTTCAGATGGGAGCCAGAGCCGCCCCGTCCCCCAGTAACGCAGCAGCTCCTGAAAGGATGCTCCAGAGCCATCGCTTCCCTCAGGCCAGGCAGCTCTGTGGGACTCAGCACAAATTTCCTCATGGGAAGAGGACCAGGCGCAGGCTCCTACCTGTCCAGGTGGAAGGCGGCGATCTCCGCGTTGTGCCGCTGGAAGTCAACGAAGTAGAAAAAGTCCTCGGGAGTCTCTTCTTCGCGTTTCTGCCTGGGAGAGAGCAAGGGGGTTAATCCGGGCAGGGCAGAGTTTCACTGTCACACACTGTCACCCTCCTGGCTCAGTTCCCTTCCCCTCCTGGACACTGGGCAGAGGTGGATGGAAACCAGTGGGACTGGAACTGTCTCTTTCTGGATGAGCCAAGCCATCGCATCGGCGTGCTGCCAGCTGCCCTGCCTGTGCACGGAAAGTCAAGTGAGGGGGAATAAATGGGAAGAGTCCCAAGGGGCTACAAATAAGTGCAGAAGCAACTTCTGTTGGAGGTGAGCAGGACTGATGGCTATTTCTTGGAAATACACTGTGGAATCCATGGAGAAACAAGGCAAAACACATCGTCCATGGGAGAAGAGCAAGAAACGTGCAATCCCTAATGGAAAAGTGCCCCGCGGTCCTTTGCCATCTGACATCTATGGATCAAGACATTTCCAACATCCATAAGCAGTGGGGGAGCACCAGTGTTTATCCACGTGCAACTCCGGGACCGTGCAAGCAGCCTGTGATAATTAAACCTTTCCAGCTGTCAAGGTAGCCGGGCCCAGGAGAGAAGAGCCGCAGCTGCGGTGTGCCCGTCCTTGCCAAGGATGCTCGCAGCCCTTGCTGCCCCCCTGCTCCATGGCTCCGTGGGGTGGCAGGGGAGGGGGGGCTCTGCCGGCACGCCTTACCTCATGGGCTTGAACATGGCTTTCCCAAAATCCTGGAACCTGAGGACCAGCTTCAGGTGCACACCGCTGGGCTTCACGACTTGGGGAGGAAAGGGGACGTTAGCCAGCCGCCGCCTGGAAAGCCCCCCGGCGCACGGCGAAGCACCAGTGACGCACTTGGGCACCATTCAGCTTCCCCCCACCGCGGTGAGAGCATCCCCCAGCTCCTTCCAGCTCCTCCCCTCGGCTTCTGCAGTTATTTTTCCGCTCTCTCCCTCTCCCCCGTGCCATAGAGAAGATTTCCCTCCAGCACTTCTCCCAACACCCATTTGTTACATCCTCTTGGGGACTTTTTCCTTCCCTACCAGTATAAACCAGTGGCATACTGGTATCGTGCCATGCACATCCCAACCTCTGCTGGGGCAGTGGGGTTGAATTGGAGGGAGAAGGGCCTGGCATTCCCTAGCTTTCCATTTCCCTTGCTGAGATCAGGGTGGAGGAGTTGGGGTCAGGGGCCAGCATGTGAGGGGATAGTGGGGACCCGCCACGTGGCACTCACTCTGGCTGCAGTCGCAGGCTCCCAGCAGCGCTTTCTCATCCTGGCTGTAGTCTGCAAGGGCAGGAGGAGCAGTGAGACCCTGCTGGGCTCAGCATCTTGCTGCTGACCCCCCTCCCAGCATGGGGCATGCAGGGGGGCACTGCCTGCCCATCCCCGCCTGCCAAAAAACGCTGCATCGGGGGCTCCAGCCAAGTCCATCCACACATCCCAAGGTAAGAGCATGGCAAAACCCTGCTGGGCAGCCAGCACAGCGCTCGGGGCATCCTCCTTGTTTGCAGTAGTGACCTGGAGGGGCTGGAGCCCCCCAGCCCAGTGCAGCTCCTGTCAGCCCGGACCCGTCCTCACAGCAGGAGGACACGTACCGGCGCTGATGGTGGTGGAGTCCTGCATGTCCCGGAGGAGCCGGCTGACGGCCGGGCTGGAGCGTGGGTAGAGCCCGTCCCGGGTGATTCCCAGGTGGAACTGGAGCCAGCTGGCCTCCGGCCGCAGCGGCAGCAGCGCTGCCGGCGACGTCAGGTTGAGCTCCTCCCTGTAGAGCTTGTGTCTCCTGAAAGAGAGCGGGTACGGGGGGATGAGGATGAACCCCGGGGTGGAAACCCACACTGCTCCCAGCACAGGGGCTTTGGGGAGCGGGGACGGGGCTGGGGAGCAGAGCCAGGGGGAACAGGGTGGATAAGGACTCTCTGAGGGGAAACTGAGGCAGGGAGCGATGACCGAGGTGGTCAAAGGTGTCACAAATTGTGCCTTCTTCCCACTGGGGACGTGAGGTGACAGCGGATAACTGGGGTCATGACTGCTCAGTGGGCTGTCTTGTCCCAGCAAGCCCTGGCTTTATGGTCATTACATCTCTGACAGTTTTTTTCCTGAAGCTGGAGGTCCCAGGCAGGGGGAAAAAAAAAAGTTACCAAACTAGAGCCACAAATTTCCTCCATGACCCGATCCACAGCCCTCAGTCTGGCGAGCAGGGATGCGGTCAGCCTGTCCGGAGGCATCCTGCCCATCTCCTCTTAAAATCAAGGTTGAACCCAGCCCTTTCCTGGCTGATGTGGAGCCAAAGGTCCAGGAAAAACCCTGAGACATCTCCCCACTCCATCAGCACGTTCCTCAACCCTGAGCCCCTCCGTGGCTGGGTCCCACGCTTTGCTAAACTGCCATTGAAAGGTCACTTCTTCCACCCGGCGGAGGGCAGAGCGTCAGTTTTGCATTAACGCCGCCCGAGCCGTGTACGGAGCAGCCAGCCTGATAAGGGGAAAACGAAGTTCAGTTTGCACTGAAAGTGCCAAGACATATCCGTGAAAAAAAACAGGAGCTGGGGGCTGATAACGAGCAGGGCATTAACCACGGCTGGCAGTGTGGTTCCGCCGGGTTTTGCCGCGCTGCGTGGTTCATGGCGATGGCTGCAGCAAGGTGCTGACCGTGCACCAGGTCATGTATCAGCCAAGGAGCTGGTGCTGGTGGCTGGAAAGCGCTCATGGGTGATGCTGGTTTTCTTTTACTTCCCTGCTCAGCCTGGCAGGAAAGCGTTGGGTTTTGGTTGGGTTTTTTTTTCCATCGTCTTCCTCCATCCAAACAGGCTAAACGGTGTGGTTGGTTCAGTCTAACCACGAGCAAGGGACAAACCCTCCAGGTGAAGTGAGTTTCAGTAACATCCCAGGAGAAATCTAGGAAATGGAGAGACGTGGCGTGTCTGCAGGTCAGAGCAGCCCGTTCCCTCTCCCGGTTTGTTTGCCTTTCAGCTGGACTGG